CGGCTGCCAGGTCCTTGGCGTTGTCGGCTGCGGGCAAGGGGCAGAGGACGAGACGTGACGCCACCACTATGCCACGCCCCTACGGAAACTGGTCGCACCACGCTCCCAACAGCTTACACACACACACACACACACACACACACACACACACACACTCCCTCCCCCTGTTCTGCCTACTTGGGAGCAGGTCATAGGTGAGCTGTCGGTGTAGCCGGTCCTCCAGGACAAGCAACAGAGTAAGCTAGAGAGGGGAGGCATGGGTAGGGGGTTGGTGGGGTGGCACAGGGAGCCTCCCCCATCAGACGTTCAGACATTCCTCCTGGCCACACCCACCGCCCGGCCAGGCTGCCCAGGCCCATGCTCACATGCCAGCGTGCCTTGTCCTCGCTCCTCTCCATATTACACTGCATCTGTATCACCTAGGTGGAGGGGTGGGGGGCGGAAAGCGCGTCAAGGTCACCCAGAAGAGCATGTGCTCAAGATCAGGGGCCCCAGAAGTAATAGCAGGGATTGGGAATGGAGACACTCTAGGAAGCACGGCATTACCTGAGCCTGGTAAAACCTCCAGAAGAGCAGAGCTTGGGGCTGGCTAGTGAGGCATGAATAGGCATTTTCATAGGGGTGGAGGGAACAGCTAGGACAAAGGATGGGGCTATAGGGAGGGCCCATGGAGAGGGAAGGAGACATGGGTGGGGATGTGACAGAAATGGGGTCAGGCCATGGATTTGGGCTCGCCTTGAGCATCTAGGAGGCTCACAGGGTAGAACCCTGGAGGGAGGGGCAGCCCTCATCATCAAGTGTGAACTCTGGCTATATTGCGTGCCCAGGGAGAAGGAGGTCCAGTGTGCAGGTGACGGCTGGAGGGGATCCACACACCCAAGGACAAAGCCATAGCCTTGGGGGAGAGGGATGTAGGTATGGACAGAGGAGCTGAGGCTGGAGGAGGGGTCACTGACTGGGAGGGAGCCTTTGGAGGAGAAGACAACAGCTGAGGGGGCCTGGGGGAGACACCAGGACACTAAAGGGGTAGGATCAGAGGGAGGAGACTGGCAGGTATGGGGGCAGGCAGGCAGGGGAGGGGAGAATCCCAGCTGGTCCTCGCTGGTCCCTGGTCTCCACCCAGGGTCACCGTTGGACCTGCTCTCTAGCAGCCTGTGTAGGCCAAGTGAGGACTCACCTTCCTGGTCTCGGAGTCGAAGGGCTCGGGTGTGGGGGTTTTAGCCTTCTGTGCCTCCTCAGGGGGTGGTGCCAACACACGAGGTAGCCCCAGGGGCCGAGAGGTGGCGAAATTCATCAGTGGGTAGATTCCATTTCTGGGGGCACACAGGGTGGCTGGGGGCTCTGGCCTAGCAGCCATCAGTAGCCACACCCACACACCCACCATTACTCACCTGACATCCTCTAGGAATTTGTCAAGTTCTAAAAAGGAGACCTCCGAGTACCTGCAAAAGGGGCAGAGGGAGAGGGACATGAGGGACCCACCAGGTTGCCCGGATGTGGGCAGAGCAAGGTAAGCATCACAAGTCTCACCGCCACTGCACAGGGGGCTGGCGGAGCCGGGGGACCTCGGCCATGACCGCATGCAGGTCTAATGACTTGCTCTTTTCCTCCACCGTGTTCTCAGGCATGAGGTCTGTGGGACACAGAGATTCAGCAGGCCCTCCCCTCCACGCGGCTAGCCCATGCACCCGTCCACCCGCTGAGCGGCTGCTCACACTGGTGCTGGATGAAGCAGTGCGCTGCCAGCAGCTTTAGCGAATGCACCTCAAAGAGTACACGGTGGAAGAGCAGGTTGTGGGCCGAGGGCCTCCGGGTGGGGTCCCGGGCCAGGCAGGAAAGGATGAATTCCTAGGGTTAGGGGGAAGCCGAAATGGGTGCAGGGGCTCCAACAGTTCTGGGGGTTCAATCCCCACGCCCTCCCTTCCAGGGGTACTGAGGAGCCTTCACACTGAAGTGTGTATGTGTGGGGTGTTTCCTTAGCAGCCAGGTCGGGTCCTGTCCATACGCAGGACACTCTGACCAAAGGCCCAGACCCCACCTGCTTTATTTTACATGATCTCACAAGACACGAGAGTGTCACTGCTCCCAGCCCACAGCAGCTTCACTCCACATCCCCACAGTGTGTCCCACTTAGCCTCACCATTCCAGTCCCCTGAAGACATGGGCTGTCATAGTTAAGCAGGCAGTCTGCTGGCCTCTGGCCAGAGAGGTAAGACTACAGCCAACATCCCATTCCCCTTTGCCCAGCCCCCTACCCCAACATCTCAGTGATCTCCTGGAACCCTAAAGGCAGGGACTCAGGCAGACCTGGATGAGAACTGCAAACCCAGGCTCACCACTCACTCTCAAGTCCTTAAGCAAAATGCTTAGCTTCTCTGAGCCTCAGTTTTTCACCTATAGAATGGGCACAATAGTGTACACACATGAATTACTGTGATTAACGTGAGAACAAGTGTGACAGGCGTGCCAAGTGTTTGTCACATTGTGAACTGAGATGTCTGCTCACTGTTGGTGTCATCTGCCCAGTGCCCCGGCCTATACTTAGCATTCTATTGCAGCAGGTTGGAGTCTCTGGCCTCCCTGTCCAGGGAATGTGCTGCCTTCTCACAGCTGTGTTCCCAAAGTCCTCCCTGTGGGTGGCCTGTGAAGCTGGATGGCACACACCCAGTGTCCCCACCCCTACTGCCCCTCCAGACAACTGCCTAGGCTCAGAGACCCTGACCTCACCTCGACCACCGTGAGCCGGCTCAGGAGGGGTGTGACAACCTGCTCACCCTCATATTGGGATCGCTCAGCGAGTGCCTGGCACGGGCGATGGCTTCCTCCGTGACTCGAGTGTCCCCGTTGGCCTGAATCTCCAACACCGCCATCTGAGGGCAGGGGCAGCTCAGGTAGGGGGTAGGGGGCAGGGGCAAGGCGGGCGAGTCTCGGGGCCATGAAGCCACAGGGCCAGTACCTCCAGTGCACACATCCCGAAGGAGAAGATGTCCACAGCGGTGCCATCAGCAACCTCTAAAAGGCAGGTGCAGGGAGGTCGACTTGGGTGACACCAGGCACTGGGAGAAGGCGCTGGCCAGAACCCACCAGAACTCACCGCCGTACTCCGGAGGGAAGAAGTGCAGGTTCCGCACCTCCTCTCGCTCAGCTAGGATGGGACTTCGGAGATCATCCGGGAGCGCTGCAGGAGGCGCTGGGGTGAGCTAGCACACCAGACCTCTCCACACCTCCCTTTACCCCGTGCCCCCCAGGTTCCCACGCACCATTGGAGAAGATGCGATGCCACACTGCGCCAGCCAACACCAGGAGAAAGATTAACGTTAGTGCACGTGAGCTTTGGCGGTCTGGTGCCCCCCTTCTTTTGGACAGCCCCCGCCCCCTAGGCTCTGGACAGGCCCCGCCCCTAGAGGGCCCAAGCCCCGCCTCCCGTAGGCCCAAGCCCGCCAGCACCGGAGCCAATCTTGATGAGGCCATTGTGCTGGATGAAGACGGTGTCACTAGTCAGGTTCCCGTGGATGATGGGGGGGCTGCAGGCATGCAGAAAGCTGCGGGGAAAGGGAGCAAACAGAAGCCGTCAGGGAACCTAGAAGAGGTGGGAGCATTGGGGGAGGCGGGCAAGCCCAGGTGCTCACCTGAGTGCTGACAGGATCTGCGTGCACCATCGCTTCCAGGCCTGGTGGCAGGTGGATGGCTCCGTCGGTGGGGAAAGAGGGCTAGGGACTGGGCCTGGTGGTGCCTGCTCCTGCCCTCCCAGTCCCTGTCCCCAGGGTCTACCACCCAGCCCTCCCGGCCCAAGTTGCCTAACCCATACCCCCTACCCTGGCATTCATGGCCTTGTGGTTTTTCTTGGTCTTTTTGAGGAACTGCTTGAGGCTGCCGGACGACACATATTCTGTGATGAAGATGACCTACGAGGGGCGGCGGGCTCTCAGAATCTGGTAATTCAGCGGTGCCCACACCCTGCCTAGCTCATCCACTGCCAGCTCACCCGCGCGCGGGCCTCGGACGCATCCAGCCAGTACTTGTGCAACTTCACGATGTTGGGATGGTCCACGAGCACCAACTGCTCAAACATGCTCTGGATCTTCTCCTGGGGAAGGGGGCCGGGGCACTGTCAGGAAGCTAGCCTGCTAATGGACAATGGGGTGGGGGCTGGGAGGGTGTCTTCACCTCATGGGCCGCGAAGACCTTCCTGTCGCTGAAGTGCAGCTCGTTCCACACCACCTCCACCCCCTCCTCCGTGTCCATGGCCAGGAACGTGCTCTGGACCCCGGGCATGTTCCCTTGGTTCACCTGTGGGGCACCAGGCTGGTCACTGGTCTCTGTCCATACGTGAGACTCAGGGCCAGATAAGGCTGGGGTGGGGGTGGGGGTGGGGGGTAGGTGGGGGTGAGTTGGGCTGAGAGTGCAGCTGATTCCCAGGGGCAGTGGCAGTGCCCCAGAGATGGACTGAGGGGGTTGGAGTCCGTCTCATGGAGTCCAGCAATGGTTTCTAGGGAGACAGCAACTGGTCCCGGAGGCAGGTTGGGAAGCAGTCCCCACAGGAGGCTGGTCCTTAGAGAGTGGGGGTTTCTCCTGTGTGCATGGGGGCTGCACCAAAGGGGTCCAAGGTTTGGTGAAAACGGGGCCCCCCCGAGAGTTCTCCCAATGGTCCCCACAGGCCTCCCAGTCCTCTGGCTGGGGAAGGAGAGCCTCGATCCGCACCCACCTGCTCTCGTCGCTTCTGCCAGCGTCCGCAGGGGCTCTCCTCCAGGATGTCGCTCTCGTCCTCACTCTCGTCTTCCCGCTCCCGCTCCCGCTCCCGTTCCCGCTCCCGGCCCGGCCTCGGCGTCGGCTCCGGGGCCGCCATGGCTCGGCGGGCCGGGCCACCGCCCTGTGGGCGATCCGCCCACCCTGCGCCGCCGCTCCTTGCCCGCCTCTGGCCCCACGCCCAGCCGCCCAGGCCCAGGAGCCGGAGCGGAGCCGCTACCACCACTAGAAGCCCCCACTCCGGCTCCCGGAATCTGAAGACGCCGACGCGTAGCAGATCTGCGACTGGCGCAGGGGTGGAGCCGGCCCGCCCCTCCGGAGCCGCCTCCTCGAACCCAAGCCGGAGTGGAGATTCCCCGCGGCGCCCGAGCCTGCCCGCCTCGCCCCGCCCCGTCCCGCCCTGTGGAGCGGGGTCCCAGGCCCGGTCCTGCTCCGCCCCAGGCACAGCTCTCCCAGAGACCCCGCCCCTCTCGGTCCGATGCCCCGCCCCGCCAGAAGCTCCGTCGGGATCCGTCCGATGCCCCTCCCCGTGGAGCCAGGGCCCCATCCAAGGCTCCGCCCCGTCAAAAACCCCGCCCCCACGAGCCCAGTCCCAGGCCACATCCAGCTCTGCCCCCCGCCCGGCTCGCCGAAACCCCGCCTCGTGGAGCTCCGCCCTTGGTCCCGCCCCGCCAGCCGCCCCACCAGCGGAGCAAAGCAGTCTGGGCCCAGACGCACGGAAAGACGGCCTTGCGAGCCGTCTGAGCTGAGCTGGGACGCGGCTGAGGTGGCTGCCTGGAGGCAAGCCCATCGGGGCCGGGGTCTCGGGCACCGCCTTGACCAGCTCTTCCAGGCCACCCATGCCTCCGGCACGGCTTCCCATCGTACTTCTCAAACCCGGCCTGGACCACGGTGCCCTCCAGCGCCTTCTGCGGGAAGGAGAGGGTCGCTGGTGTGAACCAGAATCCTGGAGCAACCCTCTACTCAAGATGATCCGAGAGTCCAGAGCCATCCAGGCCACGGGGGCACCAGCTGTAGGAGTCCCGCCTGCATACGTGGGGCCAGCTCTCCACTCCAGTGCTCCCTCTCCCCCTAAAAATGAGCCAGCAGGAGGATCACGGGAAGTGTGGGACCACTGTGATTCATGAGCACATACTTCCCACTTGCTCTTTGCTCAGGTGTTCCTTTCAGTTCCATACCGACACTTGCCCACATTCCCTGTGGCCATTTAATGCCCTTAGTCTGGGTGGTGCAGACAGTTGAGGTACCTGGCTGCTACTGTGAATCCATCTTGAGGTGCCCTGGAAGAAAAGACCTACTTTTGAAAGATTAGTTATTGAGAGCCTCATAGAGCACAATTCTACTCACACATGGGGTGGAGGTGAGTGAGAGGCAACACCATAGTAACTGCTTTGTTAAGTGATCCCCTCCCCCTTCTTCCTTCCTGAAGCAAAGGAAGGAATTATGGGGGACATCGGTCAGCAGCTCAAAACTACCAGCTGTTCCGCGGGAGACAGATGAGGCTTTCTGCTCCCGTAAAGATTTACAGCCTTGGAAACCCTGTACAGGGTCGCTATGAGTCTGAACCGACTCCATGGCACATAACCACCACCACCACCACCACCACCACCCCACCCTACTTCATTTAAAGAAGCAGCCCTTACCACACCACCAGGTGTCCCCACATCAACCATGGCTCTAGAATTCTCCCTCTACATCCCTCCCTTCCTCACCCCCCCCACCCAGTACTTCCTCCCTGTACTCTTGCCAGTTCACATCCCACTCTACCTTCTCTTCTAGAGAAACATGGGGATCAGCATGTTTACCACCCCCAAACCTCCCCTCCACCACTAGCGGATGCTCCCTCCCAGAGCTTCATGGGCCCCTTTCTTTCTCTCCAGCTTGTATACGATGTAGCCATTGGCATCTGACCATTTCACTGTCTCTCTTTAATGACCAGCATTTCCCACTTGGACCTAGCAACCCCATCCCTATGCTCCCAACTTTAACTTCTACCCAGTACCAGATGACTCTGTAGACACCCCATTCGTCTGCTCAGAACCTTGTGTAGTGTAGAGCTAAGGCACTGGCTGCGTTGTTCACACTCTGCACACAGCCCAGAAATAATGGCCCCTTTACCATTTTTTGGGAGGTGGCCTTTAGGCCCTGGCTTCTTGACAAGGTACCTTGTACACCTGAGACCCTGGACCAGGTCAGTCTGTTCTAACTGATTTATAGTGGGCCTCTTTCCTGTGAAGGGGCTGTAGACAGAACAACCACCCCAAAGCTGAGGGAGTGTCCCTGTTGCCAACACTCCATCACATTATTGCTGTCCAAGTGGTCCCACTAGCTAGCGTCTCAGGAACTCTACTCACTGTACCTTTCTTGTGACTTGTTTACTCTGTGTCTTTTCTTTGTAATAAACTGTAACTGATGTAGTCCCTATCATATCCTTTTTTGTAGTAAACTGTAACTGTTGCTGACTCTATCTGTATCTGTTCGCTTTCCTTTGTCTATAGTAAACTGGCACCGTGGCTGCTTTCATCTGTATCTTTTCTCTGCACTTAACTCTGTGAGTCTAACAGCTTTCTGATCCCTGGAGTTCTCCTAAACAATCATTAAAGAGCCCATTGCACACTTCAAGAGTCCTTTTCTGGTTTAAAGCTTTTTATTGTGAATTGACCGAAGGTTTACAGACAAGATCATCAGTTTCACATTCAACAAATGATACACTGTTTTATCTCAATGATTGCAATGCATATTCTCCTGTTTCCTCCCTGTGGGTCCTGTTTCCAGTCCAGCCACCTTCCCCTCCCTTCTCAGCTTTGTCTTTAGGTAAATGTTGCCCTTTTGATGTTGAATGATTGAACTTTCATTCCATGGTGAGCAGACCTAATGAGGAGTGTTGTTGCCCCCTGTCAATCTATCTACTGCTTGGCTGAAAATTGGGCCATGAGGGTGAATTCCTTTCCAGACCTGAAGGGTAGTCTCAGGTTCCTCCAGGCTCTTTCTAACCAGTAAACCCAGTTTCTCTCTCTCTCTTTTAAATTAAGTAATTTTGAGTTTTGCTCTACATTTTCTTTCACTGTATCTGGGACCTTCTAATACGATCCTTTTCAGAGCAGTTGTTAGTGGTAGCTGGGCACCATCTAGTTCTTCTCGTCTGGGAGTCTTGGAGACTGATATTCACATGTTCAATTAGTCCATTGGACTAACTGATTCCAAGCATCTTCAATTCTCATCACCCTCATTCTTCTGCACGTGGAGAAACCAATAGCTGCACCTCAGATGACCACTCAAAAGCTTTTAAGATCCCAGACAGTACTCCCCAAAGTAGGATGCAGAACATTGTTTTTGTGGACTATGTTGTGCCAACTGACCATGGTGTCCTCTGAGACTATGGTCCTGAGCCCCGAGGCCCAGCAGCTCATAGCTTGACAATACCTATGTTTTCATCATTGTACTTGCTGTGTGCTCCACCACATCAGAGTTGTGTTTGCAGGAAAGGTAAATACCTAGGTACAAACATCTTCTTTCAAACTCCTACATATTTGTGGGCATATTCCCACTCTTCTTCCCATACCCATTCAACATCTATTTGTAGAGCACTCTTGTTCCAAGGTCCTGTCTATATCACTATTAATCTCTGTAATTGTTAGGATTTTGTGTCAACTTGACTGGGTTGGTTTGATAGTTGAGATGAGCTTATCCCCATGGCGATGAAACCTAATACTCTATGATGAATGGCTGTGAGCAGCCAATCAATTGAAAGGCTGTTCCTTAGGGGTGTGGCCTGCACCTAATAGAATGGACGTGTGGGCCAGGCTGTCTCTCTTATTCTTCCCACCCCACCAGGATTTAGGACTCTGGGATTGTAAACCATTTCCTTGCTAATAAACTTCTTTTTCTCTCTCTCTCTACACGTGTACATGTTTCACTGGGTTCGCTTCTCTAGAAAACCCAGTCTAAGACACGCGGTACTGAGAGAGTGAGGTTCTAGAGAAACAAAAGCACAAGGGTGAGTTTTCTAAATTGGTTCTCAAGTCGGAATACGGGGTGGAGCCATGTCTGACCTCAGCTTCATAGGAATCCATCTTGGGCTGATTGTGAGTTTGGTCCTCTTTTCCCCCTGTGGAGTCAGAGGAAGTCACACGGTCCCCACTTGCTTTAAGCAGCTGGCGTCAAGCGTGGGAGTCATTTCAATAGCTGCAGACTTAGGAAAGCATGAGGTTTTTAATTTTTTGTTTTTAAGTGTTTACATGGGAGAACATTAGCTTTACCTTCATCCTATGGTATATCGTTTCGCTGCCATGGTTACAATCCCCTCCATGCATCATCAAACAACCAAAGGGTATACCCCTTAAGCCTGCCCCTGGGTCATCAGCACACAGCCCCTCTCCCTTTCTGGGTCTAGAGTCCCCAGCTGCTC